TAAAAGCTGGCTATCCTGTGCGGTAACCTCACGAAGAGGGTGCATTCCTTTTTTTGTGCTGTTTTTTTTTTTTGTTTTTTTTTTGTTTTTTGCCTTTCGAAAAGCGCGGCAGTCTTGAGTCCTGAGATTTCTCAACAGGGGCGAGATCCCATTATCAAAGAGGGTTGGATTGGATCCCTGCATCTGGATATCCTTGGGAAAAAGGTGCAGCAGAAAATCGAGATTGAATTGCTTTTCCGCACCTCTGCTTAAAACACGTCCAGATTCGGCCGCTTAATCCAATCCTCTTTGCTAGTGGGACCTTCCCCCAGGTGACAGGCCGCAGGTAATTCCAAGGCTATTATGGAATTTACTGTTATTGTGTAGACTTCTTTTCATGTTTATCGGTTATTGAGGGGGTTCAACTCTGATAGGCACCGTGATGGAGCCATGAATGCAGGTACGATGAATCTGACTGACAATTCGACGCAGCAGCCACTTCTACCTGGCCTGACGCTCCCGCATTGCCACGGGTTATAGGGCGGCACAACTCACCCCAGCGACCGACCACCATTGACTGGCCTTGGCCCTTCTCCTCAGGCCACCGAGTGTCTCAGAGTGATGGCAACGGGAAGTATCCACCACCTACTCGGTGCCGCTCGCGCATGAAACCCACCGATCTAGATGTTGGGCTGAAGGTCTCAATTGTGCGAGGAGAGAGAGCAGCAGGAGCATTGTTGACTGGGAACCAGCAGGAGCATTGTTGACTGGGAACCCAGCATGAGGAAAGGAGGGACACGCGGAGAGAGAAGAGAACCAAGTGGGAGGAAGGAAAGGATGAGCAGAGAGAGAAGAGGGGCGTGTTAGAGTCGGTACTGGAGCCAACAGGGACAAATGAACAGGGACAGGTGATGGCCGAGACCGTAGTGTAGGAAATGGAGAGCCAGAACTGAACCGATAAGGAAGTCGGGAGGAAGGAAGGGGGCGAGACGGAGCTAGTGTTGGGTGACTGGTGGCTGGAAGTACAGGTGTGCGGACGTGAAATGCAGGGGAAGGTAGGGAGATCGCGAGAGGGAATACAAGAAGGGGTCCTAAGAATCGGTAACATGAGATGGATGTGGGGTACAGCAGCGGAGGATCGCCTATACAAGAAGTGCAGGGAGACACTGGGGAAGATGGAAGAAGATAGCGATGGAAAGGGAAAAGGGGGGGTTGAAGGGGGCCGTGGGTGTGCGTGTGCGTGTGCGTGTGCGTGTGTGTGTGTGTGTGTGTGTGTGTGTGTGAGAGAGAGAGAGAGAGAGAGAGAGAGAGAGAGAGAGAGAGAGAGAG